CTGCCTCTATCTTGGCTGGCTCTGGCCTCTGGCTCCCACACCCTACTCTGTGACCCAGGTACTGCACTTCAGCCATGCCTAAATGGCACTTCTCTGGCTTCAATGTCAGGCCAGCTACCCCTACATGTACTAGGTGTTCTTCCCAGGACTCACTGTAGATCGCAATGTCATCCAGGTATGCACAAGCAAATTCCTGGAATCCATCAAGAAGTCTATCCACCATGCACTGGAAGGTAGCCGGGGCATTCTTCATCCCAAATGGCATGACCTTAAATTGGTACAGGCCAAATGGGGTGACGAAGGCCGACTTGGGGATAGCATCCTCGGCCAGGGGAATCTGCCAGTAACTTTTGCACAGGTCTATGGTGGTCAGATAGCGTCCCCTGGCAATGCAATCTAACAATTCATCTACCCGGGGTATCGGGTAGGCGTCAGTGGTGGTCCGCTCATTGAGACGCCTGTAGTCCACACAGAACCGGGTGGTCCCATCCTTCTTGGGCACCAGGACTACAGGCGAGGCCCATGGGCTATCGGAGTGTTCGATGACCCTCAGCTGGGTCATCTCCTGTATCTCCTTCTGCATTCCTTCCCGGACTGCTTCAGGGATACGGTAAGGGGGTTGTCGCAGAGGGTTCTGTCCAGGGGTTTCTACCTTGTGTACAGCTAGGGTAGTGTAACCAGGTTCTTGGGAAAAGGTCGCCTGCTTTTCCCACAACAGCTGTCTTGCCTGGCCCTTCTCGGTAGCGCTCAATCTGTCCCCTAGCTGTACTAGGCTAGTAAGATCCGTCTGGGGTCCCTCTCTAACAGGTCTGGCAAGGGTAAACTTTCTGTATCATCTGCAGCAGGGGCACATACTGCAGCGACATTCTCTGGTCTCTCCTGATACTCCTTTAGCATGTTCACATGGAAGGATCGCTGGATCCTTTCATCTGAACAGCTGGCTATCAGGTAGGTAGTATCACATATCTGTGCTAACACCTTATACGGGCCCTGCCAAGATGCCTGCATCTTGTTCGCCTTCACAGGTTTGAGCACTAGTACTTTCTGCCCAACCTGGAAAACTCGCTGTCGGGCACCCCGATCAAACCACCTCTTCTGTCTCCCCTGAGCCACCTGGAGATTCTCCCTTACCATTAGGGACAGTTTCTCCATGCGGTCCTGGAGTTCCAGAACATATGGTACTATGGGGGTCCCTTCCTGCTCTGTCTCCCCCTCCCAGTGGCCTCTAATGAGATCTAGGGGTCCGCGGACCCTTCTCCCATATAGCAACTCAAAGGGGGAGAACCCAGTAGATTCCTGGGGCACCTCTCTGTAGGCAAACAACAGATGAGGCAGGAATCGCTCCCAGTCTCTGCAAGTGTCAGAAAAGGCCCTCAGCATCTGTTTGAGGGTGCCATTAAATCGCTCGCAGAGACCGTTAGTCTGTGGATGGTAAGGTGAGCTAAGCAGCGGTTTAATACCGCACACCTTCCACAGTTGCTGGGTGAGCACAGCGGTGAATTGGGTTCCCTGGTCAGAGAGAATCTCTTGAGGGAACCCGACTCTGGTAAAAATCCTAACCAGGGCATCAGCAACTGTCTCTGCCTCTATATTGGACAGCGCTACTGCCTCCGGATAGCGAGTGGCATAATCCACCACGGTGAGAATATATTTCTTACCGGATGGACTAGCCCTGGCCAGTGGACCCACAATGTCAACGGCTATGCGGGCAAAGGGCTCCCCAATGATAGGCATAGACATAAGCCTAGCTCTTGGGTGGTCCCCCCGCTTTCCTATCCGTTGACATGTGTCACACGTACTGCAGTATGTCCGCACAGCCTGATTGAAGTTTGGCCAAAAAAAGTTCTGCATGATCCTATAAGCTGTGCGGCGGGAACCTAGATGTCCAGCTAACGGAACATCATGCCCTATCCGCAGAATCTCCTGCCGGTATTTCGCGGGCACTACCAGCTGTCGATTCGGCGGAGGGGCAACACTCTTCGGGGAAAGCTTGGGGATCCTATACAACCTGTCCCCCACCCACTCATACCGCTCCCCATCTAATCCTTCCTCTCCAGTATCTGCTCTGTCCCTATACTTCTGGAGGGTCGAATCTGTCTGAGTTTCCCTCCCAAACTCCTCTGGGGAATCCCAGTTAACAAAGGTCTGTGCTATGGTACCAGTCGGGGACTCGGTCCTTACCTGGGTCTCAGCAGCAGGTGGGCTGGTTCCAGCAGCACAGGTCTGGGCACGGGTAGTCACTGGGTTGATAGCGGCAGGTCCCATTGGAGCATAAGCGGACACCAAAGGGGCCAAGTCATTCCCAAGCAAAACATCGGCCGGTAAGTCTTTCATGACCCCCACATTCACGTGTCCAGAGCCCACCCTCCAATCCAGGTGAACCCGGGCAACCGGTAAACGGAACACTGCACCTCCCGCCACCCTCACTGCCACAGTATCTCCAGTGTGCTGGTGTTCGGAAACAAGGTTCTTTTGGAGCAAAGTCATAGTGGCTCCGGTGTCTCTCAGACCAATTACTGCTTTGCCATTCAGTTTAACGGTCTGTCTGTGCTGTTGACGGTTATCCTGCTGTGCTGCTTGTACTGGATCCGCCTCATGTAGTATACCCCAAAATTCCTCCTGCTCAAGACAGTGAGCGGAAGGTGGAGGTGGCTGCTGATTTCCGCCGGCTGGTCTTCTCCACGACTGGGCTTGGCTTGAATTGTTTAATGGGCACTCGGGTCGCTTGTGCCCCAACTGCTTACACCCATAGCAACGGATCGGCTGTGAGTAATCCCGGGCGTTGAACCGGGCTGGCTGAACGTAATTGTTCGCTGTTGGCATGGTGGGGGTGCGTTGTGCTGGGTGTTGATACACGGCAGAGGTTGAAGGAGCTGCTGGTTTGTACTCCACTCGGGTAGGGACCTTGGCTGCTGTCTGGTCCAGTTTCCTGGCGTCAGTGTACTCATCAGCCAGACGAGCAGCTTCGGGTAAGGTAGCGGGTTTGCGGTCCCTAACCCACTCTCTGACTCCTACAGGTAAGCGGTCAAAACAGTGCTCCAACAAAAACACTTGCAGCACCTCTTCCCCAGTTACCGCTTGGCACCCTGCCATCCAGTGGGCTGCGGTGCGGTGTACTCGGCATGCCCACTCAACATAAGAATCACCAGCCTGCTTGTTAGTGTCCCGGAATCGCCGCCGGTATGCCTCCGGGGTCACAGCATATCTGGCCAAAAGGGCATCTTTCACTGCCCTGTAGCTGGTAAGTTCCTCCTCTGGGATGGCCCGAAACGCCTCACTGGCCCGGCCGGATAACTTCCCAGAGAGGATGGGGACCCATTCTCCTGCGGGTACCTGGTGTAAGGCACATTGCCTTTCAAAATCCGCCAGGAACCCATCGATTTCTCCTTCGGCTTCTACAAAGTTCCGAAATGCAGCAAAAGGTACTTTTCTCCTTCCATTATTATTATTGTAAGGTACCTCAGCTGCTGCAGCGCCTCTTCCTTGAAGCGCCTGTTGTGCTGCTACTGCTGCTTGCACTTGCACCACAATATCTGCTGCGGGGTTGGGGCCAAAATGTGCCAGCCTGATCTGAACTGCCCGGTTAAACTGTATCTCCTCGGGTGTTAACTCCAGTATGCCAGGCACATCGCTCCCCCCGTTCCCTGTGCTGCATCCATTTCCAATAGTATGAAAATAATCTCTCTTTTCTTGAGATTACTCGCTGATCGTCCTCTGCGTTCCAATATATCTTTAAGGGTAGCACGCCTTAACTCCTCATACTGCATTTCCAACCTGGGATGTGTAGCTGGCCTTCTGGGCTGTAGGATTCATCCTGTCGCTTGCCACCAATTGTTACGACACGTACCGTCGGGTAGATGAAGCCGCCGTTTAGGCAATAATCCCCTTCCCCAGAAATGCAGTTTAAATCCAGCCGATCGCCAAACTCCCGAACGAAGTCCGCGAACACGGCAACTCCCGATCAGCCAAACAGTCGAACGCCTTCCACAGCTAGAAATAACGAAAGCGCTGTCCCAATAATAATTCCCCCACAAACGAGACCAAGCTCCGTCTTGAGGGTCAAATGAAGATCTGTTTAATGGGGGCTACCTGCCCGGTATTTATGCAGGTCTCCACAAGGTGGACACTCCCCGAGGGGACCTTGTGGAAGACTGTAACACATATTGGACAGTAGCCAATCGCAGTGGCTTCAATAATAGCCCTTCCCATCTTGCCCATAATTCCGTCTTCTTTACCTTGGAGATAATTGGGGAAGAAACCTAATTATCTCCCAAGGTAGAGACCATCGCCATCTTAAATTACAGTAACAAAAAGACATTAAAATACATAACTACAGAAATACCGAATGCATATGGTTCGTGTAACGTATCCCCAGACAGCCTGGATCTGAGGGCATGTTTTCACCGAATAGCGCTCAGATCCGATGTATCTAGTCGAATCGCCATGGAGTCAAAGTCTTTCACCAGTCCTTCGGTATACGAATGACTCCATGGGATGGCTGTCGGGGTAAAAGTCCATACGACTGAATAAAACTCCCGAACGACCGACGTTCGCATGCCTTGTCGAAAAGGAAGGTAGACAGCAGCTTTTCAGCGGTGTTCAGTAGTTTAAGTGTCCGTTTTTAGTTCCATACAGTTTGTACCGAACACCGCTCTGTGTTCGTATGTCCCAAAATGGCCGCTGCCTCGTGGTCGACATGCGAACGACGACCACCCGTACGAATGGAATGGAGAGGTGTCTGCGGTTAACCACAACGTTCTAATTGGGGCCCAGAGGTTAACCAGCAGCACACTCCTCTCCTGGGTGGTCGTTCGTTCGGTAGTTTCAATCGGCATTTTGCAAATACACGAACGGGGGTATATGAACAGGCAATTCCGCGAACAAAGGGAAACAGACGAACCAACAATGCAGATGAATCTGTCACAGTCACTTACACCATTATTTATCCTGTCAAACTTTAAACTTAAAGTGTCACTCCAGACGCCTAAAGCATTTTAGCTGACTGGAAAGCATATGTCTGAAGAGTGTGTCCTCTTTTCTCATTTGAAAAACAAAAGTGTAGATTTCAACAGAAATTGATTACAAGTCCCTGACTGTCAATTAGACAACCAGTCGTGTTACTTCCTGGTAGTTTAGCACAGTGGAGCTAAACTTAAGAGGTAGCAATTGCCCAGAGCACCTGCCATACAAAGACTTCTAATTGAGCTGCATTGGGAAGTCTGTGATTGGACAGCCACAGAAAGTCTGGGTGGGGTTTGAAGGGGAGGGCTTGCAAAGGCTACAGACAAGAGACGTATAACATTTGCAACCTGTTTTAGATATACTCCAGATGATACAATGATTAATTAAATACATGCAAGTTTTCATTGGGGTTATATCTACTAAACTATGAATTTATTTTATTTTTGAGCAGTGGAGTATCCCTTTAGGCAAAGATAATAGATCCACATGATATCTATAATTCAGTTTATTTTTGTGTGAGTGTGCATTTGTGTATGCATGTGTGACAATGTGTGTCTATGTATTAATGTGATCATGTGTCTGATGAACAACTGATTGTATATGTATGTGTATGAATTGTTGTGTGTCTGTGTATTAGTGAAGGTATTACTAGGTGAATGGTTACTGTATGTACGTATGTGTGATGACAATAAAGTATATAGAGGTTATATAAAACCTAACTACCTCACTGAGTTTAACACTATAACTTTCTCCAATCAACTCCATATTATGTTTCTTAATAAGGATAGACTGGACGATTAACCTTAGCTTCGATACCAATTCAAAAAAATCCTTTACATTTTTATATTTTTGCTGCTGCTGTTGCATGTAAGCTCAAATATACAATTAGAGAATAAGAAATAACAACCTGTGTTTTAAGTCCTCTTGATAAAACGATCTGTTCCCTTTCAATTTCACAAAAGCAATAAATATCTAAGGGAATGGGGTCAACATATTTTTCATTTCCCTGAAATTATTGTACATTGAGTTAAGATGTTTATCAGGAAGAGAGGACTTTTTTGGCTACCGATAATGCATTTCAGACCACGGTGTGCCTGTAAAGAACGATGTTTTATTAGAAAGCATTCTGTAAGGAGGTAGCATCCAGAGGGTAATATAAACAAAGAACAGACAGAAACATATAACCACGGGCAAAAATCAGGGAGAGAGAGAAATGAGTGGGCGAACAAATCATATAAATAAAACACGTTCTCGATTTCACTCCTGTTCATAATAACGTGGTCGACGTATCCAAAGAAATAATGACGGAAAGAAAAGCAATGCTTTGCTGTCATCGCTGCTCACTTTTTATTGATACTAGAGCAATAACAACACATTAATCATACTTATATCCACGTCAGAGATTTCCCAACAAGAGAGATCTATCTTCAATGGCTTCTAGTGTTCTAAGCTCTAAAGAAAATCCATCAAACACCAATGCCTTTTTTTTTGTAAAGTGATATTCAACAACCTGTTTCAACGTATATGTTGATCACTGACTATGAGCCCAACACAGAGGCTCTGCTGCAGATCACACTCTCATTCTGTTCCTAACGCTCACCATTTAAAAGAAAAAAGAAATAATGCAAGTGACGTTGACATTGGTTCTGCCCAATTTTTAGACAAGAGAGAGGCAAATGGGGTGGGTGGTTTTCCATGAGCACTATCCAGGATTCTCATTGAAGTGCATGAAAATGTAAAAATATGTGATGGCCACTGAGGCATCCCACTAAGTGACCCAACTCTGTGTGCCCATGTTTTTATAACATACCTGTGGTCACATCACAAATTGGAATTTGGTGTTACCCCAGCTCCTGAGCTGTCCATCAGGCTGGTATTTCATAAACTATGATGAAAGATAGTAGTACAATAATGTGGGAGCTGTACAAACTGGGAACAGGACATGGAGGTCTGGTCTGACAGAGAGAAATAAAGGGCATACAATATAAAATGTAATAATGAGAAAGACAAGAGAGGTATTGACAGTGAAAAGCGATGGGAGCTAATATTAATTTAAAGAAAAAACTGATATGAAATAGACAGGGAGCAGACATAGAAAATTATAAAAACAGAGAACATCCAAACATGACAAAAATAATGCATTCACAAAAAACACAACTGTGTGTCATTTGCTTTAAAGGGATATCAAGCACTAGAGCCACTACAGCTTAGTGGTTTAACTGCACAGATCATGTCCCTCTTTCGGCAGGAATACAGTGTTTACATTTGTACCTAATAACACATCTAGGACTATCACTCAGACAGTCACCAGAGGTGCTTCCTATTATGGTCCTACAATGGAAACTGACATCCATTGTCTTCATGCAGACTATTTCTCATTGAGATGTATTAGTATAAGCTCTATAAAATATTCTGATACAGTGGTATGCTGTTACAGTGCAGAAATTACACCTTTTTACAAAGTGTGCATTTTTGCAAAGGCGGTCTGACATTTTTAGCTCCTGTCTCAATAGAAACATATCTTACACTCAATTTAAACACACAGATCTGAGAGACCCCTCAACATTTTTTTTCCAATAGGAGAAGTTTCAGAGGAAATCGTTACATTAGAGAAAATGGTTATGTTTGATTTGCAAACAAAAAAGCAAAATAAAAAGTAGGAATATAATTTAAACCATGAGGAAAGAATAGCTCTAAAAGATTTTTTGAAAAGGTGATACTTTAGTCATTAAGCCCACAGGGGGGTTGTACTATTAGAGAAGAGGACTTTATAGAAGAGTCTTTGAGACTATTAGGGGATAGGAATAGATATAAGATATTACCAAAAGACCGTATTACAGAAATGAAGAAAATCTACGTGGAATTAATCGACAAAGGAAAATCATTAGGAATTTTAAATAAAAAATTATTTAATTTTGTAAATATTTTATATCCCAGAACTCTGGTGTTTTACTATCTTCCAAAGGTCCATAAAAATAAAGAAAGACCACCGGGCCGCCCAATAGTCTCAGGAATAGGGTCTATTTCCAGCAAACCTTCCCAGTATATAGATCGATGCTTGCAGTCCACTGTACAAAGATCCCCAAGTTATTTAAGGGTCTTTTAACTTTATTGAAAGATCAACCATAGGAAGAAGATCTATATCTTGTGACAGCGGATGTAAGCTTGTTATATACCATCATCACGCATGAAAAGGGATGCCTGTCCACTTGAATTTTTTTTGAATTTTTAAGGTATTTCCACAACCTCAAATCAATTTTATTCTGGAGGGGATTCATTGGATCCTTACCAACAACTATTTCTGGTTTGAGAATGACTTTTATCTCCAGACGTGTGGTACGGCGATGGGCACCTGGTTTACTCCTAGTTATTCAAATTTAATCATGTCTTTATGGGAACAGAATTTTATCCATGATAGGCGTGAATGGGATGCTAACCTGATGCTCTATCGCCATTGCATAGACGCCATATTTTTTATCTGGAGAGGAAATTAATCTTCCCTTGTGGAATTTTTCAGTTTTTTAAATAATAATGACTGGGGAATCGTTTTAACTAGTGAATTCAGCAAGACCAACATTCATTTTCTGGACCTCAATATTTATGTGGAAGAAAGATTGATAAAAACTAAAATATTTTTTAAGCCAGTCGACGTCAATAGCTATGTGGAAGAGGGGAGTTGCCACTTTTGGCTATTGAACGTACCCAATTCCCAATTACTGAGGACAAAATGTTGCAGGAACAGTCACAAACTTTTCTAAAGGATTTTAGAGAGAAAGGTCATAAAGGAGGACTATTACAGAAAGAATTTAATGAAGCCACTCTAAAAGACAGAGATCAATTATTTGTCCCTAAACAACGAAATGATAAAATAAAGGATAATCAACTTTCCTTTATTTGTGATTTTAACTGCAGAAGTCATGACATAAGGAAGATTTTTAACAGATATTGGCCCAATTTAAAGAGGGACGAAATTTTTAATTTCATACTCCCAGATAAACCTAACATCATCTATAGAGGAGTTCCTAA